TTTAAGAAAAAGGTTAAATAAATTATGAATTAATACATTTCTCAAACAGGATTTTATTTAACTTAAATATATTTGTATCATCTCCCATCTTAAAATTTTGCCGTTTCAATACTTTTAACATTTATATGTTTATATTTGGCTAGTTAAAAATATTTTATTATGCTACCCATAAGAAGACCAATAGATATAATTTAAGATTTTGTGTGTGTGTCTGTAGGTGTATATTGTCCTTGGAGTGTGACCCATTAGGGACGTACTGTCCATTGACTAATTTGAAATATTTACCTATGTTCTTATAATTCTTTTATGAGGAAAAATTTTAAGTTACACCTATTTGGTTGCTAAATATTTAGGTCATCATCCCCCTATTCTCAATTTCTAGAGGTTGCTTAGTATTTTTTTTCACATCATCATACATGTATTTTGTATAATGATGACCGTCTCCTTCCACCATCCTTGCTATTCCCCTTCTCCCTTCTTTTCCCTCCCACCCCTATTCCCTATCTAGAGATAATCCTCCTCCCCTGCTCTCCCTCCCTACCCCATTTTGAGTCACCCCCCTTATATCAGAGATGACATTCAGCATTTGTTTTTTTGGGATTGGCTAACTTCACTTAGCATAATCTTCTCTAATGCCATCCATTTCCCTGAAAATGCCATGATCTTATTCTTTTTTAGTGCTGAGTAATATTCCATTATGTATAAATGCCACATTTTTTTTTTTTATCCATTCATCCACTGAAGGACATCTAAGTTGGCCTCACAGTTTAGCTATCGTGAATTGTGCTGCTATAAACATTGATGTGGCCGTGTCCCTGTAGTATGCTGTTTTTAGGTTCTTTGGGTATAGTTCAAGGAGAGGGATAGCTGAATCAAATGGTGATTCCATTCCCAGCTTTCAAAGGAATCTCCATACTGCTTTCCAAATTGGCTGCACTAGTTTGCAGTCCCACCAGCAGTGTATGAGTGTACTTTTTTCCCCACATCCTCACCAACACTTGTTGTCTGTCTTCATAATAGCTGCCATTCTGACTGAAGTGAGATGGTATCTTAGAGTAGTTTTGATTTTCATTTCTTTGATTGCTAGAGATGATGAGCATTTCTGCATATATTTGTTGATTGATTGTGTATCCTCTTCTGAGAAGTGTCTGTTCAGGTCCTTGGCCCATTTATTGATTGGATTATTTTTTGGGTGCTTATCTTGTTGAGATCTTTATATATCCTAGAGATTAGAGCTCTATCTGATGTGTGAGGAGTAAAAATTTGTTCCCAGGATGTAGTCTCCCTGTTCACCTCACAGATTATTTCTTTTGCTGAGAAAAAAACTTTTGGAGGTTGCTTAGTTTTTTCCTAAGCTTTTTTTGTTTTATTTTTTTGCACTAACATAAAGCAGTTATATAGGTCTAAGGACAAAGTGTGAAATAAGTACACTGAGAGAATGCTTTGTTGTATATTTGTTCCCATGTCTCATCTTCTTTCTCAATGAGGCACCAAATATTCAGGTTATTTCTTCCATTATTTGTTCTTGAGAACATTACCCAATGTGAATGTTTGTATTTTTTCTACTACTTACACAAAAGGGGGCATATTCATTCTCCTCCACCTTATTTATTTGCTTATTTTAGCTATTCATTGGCACATTTTTGCTAGTCTATCTTAGGGGTAGATTACTGGATATGGGACAGTTCTGTCAAAGAGTATATCAGTAAAATACCTTATTAAATAGTCCCTTTAGTAGAGTTGTATCATTTTTTCAATTGGAAAATTTTTTAAAATTAAAGTTCCCTAATGTCTGACATACTGAGTGAGAACTCAGAGATGTGGGCATTCAGGTTGAGTAGGGTGCTCACCTCGGTTTGGTGAGAGAGATTCCAAGATGATAACATTGTCTCCCCTGTATGATCCTAGAGCCTGGATAGTAGAGGAAAATATTCATAAACAAATAATTTTTATGTGATTACTGGAATAATAGAAATGTATGCATGGTACTAAGGGGAGACAATAGAGTGGGTAACTCTGTCAATTAAAATGGTACCTGATATAGAATGCAATTGACTGTTCCTAATATAAAAAAGGAGAAGTATACATTTTTAAAAAAACAATTTGTCTGCAAAACTGATTTAATGAAACTCCTTTCCTGAAAAGAAAGAAATTATGAATTAAACCCTGTGAACTTATCCCATCTGTACTCGTTTTTTTGCTTATTTTATTCTTTGTCATAGCTTCAAATTTTCAAGTTTTAGCTACCATGGACATCTATGGAGAGTTTTTTCAACCTAAAGTCACAACAGCATGAAGAATCCTCACAATGATATGTTCAATGTGAAAACTCTGCTGTAACCAGGAGCATTCTGCACTCTGCTTGAAGCTAGTTATAGAGTTGACAGGAGAGAAGATAAAAGTCAATAAAAACAGAATTATTTATTAAAAAGATCTAATGTTACAAGAACAGTACACAGAACTATTATCTGACTGTGCCTTCCACATGTTATATACCATTATATATAGTATATATACAGATTGTATACAGTATATTTAACGGTTTGACATGGAGTCCACAGTACCTTTAGTTGGGTGTGTAAAACAGTTGCTTTCATGAAATTTTTAATTATCAGGAGTGTTGTTTTCTTCATAGTTCAATTGACATTATACAAAAATACAGTCTCTTTAGTGATTTAAGACTGTGGTTACTATCCCATCCAGGAAAAAGCTCACTTAGTACTGTAGCTGAAAAATAATGTACCTTGATAAGGAATGCTGTCTGCATTCTACAAAGTAACAAATATGTAATACATAATACATAAACATTGAAATCCTGTTTTTTAAATAGATTTATGAGGCAAAATACATATTTTGTGAATGTTGAGTAAAAACATCCCATATCTGATTCCTGTAAGAATACAACATTGACATTCTATGAGTAAATATTCTGGCAGATATGTACCATCCATCAGCTATTTGGAAATATTGATCGGTTTTAATTTGGTACTGGAGATGGAACTCAGGAGTGTTTTGCTGCTGATCTATATCCCCAGCTTTTATTTTTGTTTTTAAATTTTGATACAGATTTTATTTTTATTTTTAAATTTTGATACAGGGTCTCTCTAAGTTGCTTAGGGCCTCACTAAATTGTTGAGGCTGCCTCGAATGTACCATCCTCCTGCCTCAACCTCTCAGGTCACTGGGATTTCAGGCATGTGTCATTGTGCCTGGAGATATTGGTTAATTTTAAGTTGTCATACATCAACATATTTATTGGGTTTTGCTTTATAAAAATGTTAGTATATCTTCATTCTTGAAACCCTTCACTGAATCTAGTATAGAATATTATAGAAAAGGAAGAAAATGCTTTGGTTCATCAAATATGTAAAAGTTATTTCCAATTTTTAAATAACCTTCATTTTTTTTTCAGCTGTACAGTTAGTTTTCATAAATTACATCATACTTAGGAGAGTTAGCATCCCTCTATTTGCGAAGTTGAGCCTCTCCCACTTCAAAGGAGTCAGTCAAGAAAGGCCACTTCATTGTTGTTATTTAAAGGCTAACATATTCACCATCTGTAGTGTTTATTATAATCTTCTGACTAAAATAGTATTTTAAATTACTTTGTGTTTGTTCAGGAGTGTCTTGAATGTAATCTTCTCCAAACACAACGAGTAATTGAAATATATAGTTATGCTATATCTCTAAAACTAAACTTTAGGCTGTTCAGAACAGAATTCCTAATCTTGCCAGATGTTATGGTGTATGCCTATAATCCCAGCGGCTGGAGAGTCTGAGACGGGAGGATTGGAAGTTCAAAGCCAGCCTCAGCAATGGTGAGGCACTAAGCAACTCAGTGAGACCCTGTCTCCAAATAAAATATAA